ATGCCAACCTTCTTTATTAAAAAAAATTGTGGGTCTATTTCCCAATTCGACTTCTCTCACGCATAAGTCACAAAAAATATTCGTAGTCTCTCTATCTCACATAGCCGATGAACCAGAGTCTTTGGATTTACTCATCTATTTACTGTCATATCAACGGATTGTTAGATGACACTATGACTGAAAATGAGGCACTTAGAATTTGAAATATGCACATGTAAACAAAATTCAAAAAAGATAATGAATTAAAATATATATTGGTCTATGGGTGAAACATAAATGTGTTTTTCATATAACCATCATTTATGAAACCTTTTCTTTTTCTTTTTCTTTATTATTATAGTACCACCGTATTTGAGTAAAAACCAATTGAAATTTGGAACACATAGAGCATATTAGAAATTCTAAACCAATGCTAGCAAAGATAACCCAAAGGACCATAAACCATAAAACATATTTTCTTCACCCAACTTTCCAATTCTAAACCAACAACCCAAAGGGCATCATCATAGCTTGTTAAAAAATCTACTTGGAAAAACTTGCTTCAACAATAATGTATTGTATCTACCATAATCAGATAGTCAATTTTCTTTCATGCAAGTAAAGAAAGGAGTCTCATCGAAGCAAAAAAATGCTGAGTTGCATAAATAGTAACACCTTCATTAAAGTAAACATGCTTACACCATCTCGGTAAAAGAATATTCATTGAATTAGTGCAAACTATTTGCATAAACATAACGTGAGAGTCAAAAAATGTTTATCACCCAAACTTTCATTGTTGCCAAGCCAAATATGTAAGAAATAACAATAAAATTTTTGTAGTTCTATGTTTCTTGCTTCTTTTTCCTACTTATTTTAATTTGCAAGCAAATTCATGTTGTTGAACAAAATAATATATTTGTGTCTCGATGTTCTTTACAGCCAACTATCCATCCAACAATCGTGGAAAATTGCAGTCATCAACATAATGCAAGCTTTTTTACCCATTCAGCTGTGAACAAACATCGGCACAACAGAATTGTTTCTTTAACCAATTCTATCATAATAATCTCGTCTCAATCAAATCCACTTGTTTAAATATTAAGCTCGGCTCAACTCGTCTACACCACAAACAAGATGAATAATAAAAAGGACATTAACATACCTACCACCATATTATTATATATTTACATATCTAATACCAAAACCTTATTTTTTACATTTATACCATCCAAATCTTTCAAATCACATAAAAACTATAACTATATTTACTTTTAAAAAAGTAAA